TCCTACTCGGCAAGAAGAAAGAAATGAAGAGAGCTAGAAAAAGAGAGAGAGAGAGAGAGAGAGTAGCGAACAATTTGGCTACGATCCAAGGTCCTGGCAATCGATATAAACGCGACAGACAGCTTTATGAACAATGCTTTCAAATATCGATCTGAACCGAACCGTACACTGAGTGAGTGAGTGAGTAAGCGAGTAAGCAAGTGAGTCGTTCGAATTCCCTTTCGAACTTATTTTACGCGTAAACTACGTGACAAGGATTGACGAATATCCCCGACGAAAACTAACTGACCAAATTTGAACATTCCCTTTACTCTCAAAAAATATATATTTCATATAAACGAAATCAATCGAATTCGCGTTTCTTTGATACGATATCGTAAAAATGGAGATAAAACAAAGGATAAAAAAAAAAAGAATGGGGAAAAAAGAAAGAGAAAAAAACAATTTCGAAGCTTCCATCATTTTCGTAGTAATGTCGGTGGTGGTTGTTGTACACACTTCAACGGAGGGAGGAGGGGAAAAAAAAAGTAAGAAGATATCACCGTTCGACAGTAACATCGTATTGCATGGTATACCTCCTCTAACGTAATGTCGGCTGATCGTAAGCGTAAAGTATAAGAGAGAAGAGAAAAAGAAGAGTAAAAAAAAAAAAAGAAAAAAAGAAAAGAAAAAAAAAAGTAAATGAAAGAAGAAAGGGGGATATAGGATCATAAAGCTTTCTGTCGAAACTGGAACAGTCTGATTGCGACGAAAAAAAAAGAAAAGAAAAAAGCAAAAAAAAAAAAAGAAAACAAGGAATGAAACGAGATATAGAGAGAAAAAGAAAGAATAGTGGGGTGGGAGTGGGGGTGGGGAAGGAGAAAAAAAATGAGAAAGAAAAAAAGAAAATATAGGCAGAGAAAGAAACGATGCGATGCGATGCGCGCGTCAAGGGGAACGAACGATGACGCGCGATAGGGGTGGTGGCGGATGGGGTGGTGTAGTATAGTGTGGTGTGGTGTGGTAAGCGAATGGGAAACGAGGGATGAAAATAATCCAAAGGGATACGAGATATTTCGTACCTTCGGGCAACGCGTCCCGTTTGATTCAACACCGAGCTGAACTCCTTCGAAAACGTTTCGATGAAAATGCTGAAGGAACGAACGGTGGGGGGAGGATGAGAGGGGGAGGGAAAGATGAACAACACAAATATGCGTAAAGGGAAAAAAAGATACGATAGAGCGGGACAGGGGGGCGTTCAGGGTGGGAAAGGAACAACAAAAGAAACAAGGCGAAAGAAAGTTCGAAAAGTGGAAAAGTAGAAAAAAGAGATAAAGTGATGACGCGGAGATGCTGAAAGAGTGCGTTTTTTTCTCTTTCCGGGTTTTTTTTTTTTTTTTTTCTTATCCTTTCGAAGAAAACGATTAACGCGTTGCATGGTTTTTTTCTTTTCATTTTTTTTCTTCCCCTCCCCCCCAACCCGAGAAAATAACAATTCAGGTCGACCTACATCTTGTTCTAGCTTGTTTTTTCTTTTTTTTTCTTTTAATTTTATTCCCTTTTTCTTTTTTTTTTTTATTCTTCTCGCCCATTAAGTGAAATGATATTTTCCGTTGTTCTCCTATTTTTTTGTCCACCGAGAGAAAGAGAGAGAATAGAACAATCAAATATTCTCATTCTTAGAAGATAATACGTATTTCGCGAAAAATTTCATTGTCGAAATTTTATCGAAGGAAAATAGACAAAAAAAATTCTTTTACGTTCTATCAATCGTGAATATTTTGTCGAGATATTATGTTAGCTCGTTCAGATTTACAGGATGGAAGTTCTATTTTATTTCTTCGATTATTCGTATCGTATAAATCACGAGAAACTTCGTATGAAACACTCGGAAGGGAATTTGTAATCCGGAAGGGCGTGATATTATTTGCTATTTAATCAGAGTGCACTCGTATATGTATATATATATATATATATATATATATATGTATACTTTTTTGCGATCGTGCGAACAAGGACACTAGTACGGTACGAGTTGAATCGGTAAATAATAAAAACCTCTGGACCCTCACGTACTGCAAATACGTATAATGAAATTAAATGCTTTTATAGTGTCTCCTCTCGTTCATTGTTCGAGCTTCTCTCTGGATTTTTGAATATTCACTAAAAACGTGTCCAATTTTGCCTGGTCATCCCTTTAACGAGTCCCAGGGAATATTGCGACTCATAAATTATGAAAAATTACTTTCTCGATAACGTAAAATATCATAAAGCGAGAAAATGTTCGATTTCATTTTCTATTATTTCCTAACTTACGTTTTATCGTTAAAATTATCTCATTTCTACATAATATCATATTACTTACTCATTACTTTTTAAATCTTTTTTATATTATATTATACACCTATATATATTTTTGTGTTCTCTCTCTATTTCTTTTATTTTAATATTTTTTTTTTGGTTCTCTTTTCTTTTTTTCCCCGAATCGAGAAGCAAACTTAATTTCAATTCTCCATCGACGAAATTTAACAGACATAGTTGGACTGTCAGGAAAATGATATCCTTATCGGTAATGTCCTTACGTTACGCTCGACTATGAGTAATATCTTCCTTTCTTGCACACATGCTGCTACGCGAATTTGCTAGCCCGTTAGTCGAGCGTGTCATGCAAACCGAGCTACATCTTTGCGGAAGAGCTTGTCAGCAGTTTTCCTGGACTACTGCCAAGACGTCTTCTTCTTGTCCTTTCTGAAGACGTCCCATCATCGAAAAGAGACATCTTCTACGATTACCTGTACTCGAGCTAAAACAATTGTAATTATAACATTTGGAAATATACAACGAGTCATTACGAATTACGTTTCAAATGCATGAATAAAAAACCCATTTAAAATAATTAAATTCTATCTTTTCTTTTTTTAATAATTCACAGTATATAAACCAGTTATGCGTTATTTACTCGTAAAAATATTAAACGGCATAAAATTATTTTTAATAATTCGCATATTGTCGCTTTTAAAAATGACAAATGAACAAAACAAAAAAATCTTTAGGTAAAGGTAACCCCCTCTCCTCCCCAACCCTCCCACATCGCCAACGCTCGATATTACGAGGCTTCGAAGATAAACCTGGAGGGCTGAAAGTCGCTAGAATTAGGAACGATAGAAACTCATTAAAAGTTCTTCTTTGTTCCGATTTAGCGCGACGAATGAATGAATGAATGAATGAAGAAGAGAAGAGAAGAGAAATATGCTCGGCCATTAGCTCTTAGCCGACTCAACCGTTTTCATTCAATTTCACTCGTCAGTCGGAAAACAACAGCCGTTTGCCATCAGCATCAACCCACCATCTCCTACCCCAACCCACCCACCCTATCACCCGTTCTTCGAGCAAAGAATATAAAGATTCTCATGAAATTAAAAAGAAAACGAGAACGGTCGGTTTATTCTTGTGACAATTAATCGTATTTCAAATCGTTATCTCTCTCTCTCTCTCTCTTTTTTACATTCATGAGTAAAGTTTAATCGTGATAATAAATGTTATTCCAACAAAAATCTAACTGATAATTAATCATCCAATCGTCGAAAGATTACATTCCATATATTCACATTTACACAACACATTTACTTGGACAAGAAAAAAGTCAAAGATGTTTTTATTAGATGAAAGAAAAAAAAAGAAAAAAAGGAAAAAAATGATTACGAGAAGTAAAGCGTGCGTAAAACCAAAAAAAGTATTATATATTATATCTTTCACAGCAAAGTTTTTGGTAGTATTACTATTACTACTATTACTATTACTACTACTAACTCGATAGCAGTGAAAAGTATATACGCTTACGTAAGAATGGAACGCTTGATAAATGTGAGTTTATTTCAATCCTCTTTACGTAGGAGGTGGTCAGGGTCGACGTTCACTAACCCAGATAAAACGACTTTGGTTCTCGGTATGGTATCTTCGGTTCTCCAGGGGTGTCGGAAGGAGACGACGACTTAGGCGTGCGCGTACTATCTTTCTTTCTTCTCTCTCACTCTCTCTCTCTCTCTCTCTCTTTATCTTTTTTACTCTTTTATTCTATATCTTGTCTCTTTGTCTCACTCAAACACTCGTATAAACCCCTCCTCTCTTCATCGTCGCCTCGGTTTCTACGCCCCTCTCGTTTCTCTCTCCGTCTCTGTCTTTCCCACCCCTCTCCATCTCACTCTTGCCTGGCTTCGTGGTTACGGCTCGTACCCTCGAGTTGTTCGCTGAACAACCCTTAACGTTTCACTTAATTTCGTCGCCTCTACTATATATTTTCAAACGCGAATTATATTCTACTTTCACCCCTTTAAAGTTGATTTTAAACAAATCTCTAAACGAATCATAATATAATGAAAATTAATATCCTATCAATCTAATTACACTTTATATTTTATTATACATTATTCATTACTTTTTCTATCTCGTGCATAACTTTTTTTTTTTGAGAGAGAATGAATGTCTTTGAGGTTATTTATACAAACAAAAAGAAACAAATAAGGATAGCTACGGTAAGGAATAAAAGAAAGAAAGAGAAAATTTGATAAAACATTTAACGAAGTACTCAATTTAGTGCGATGGTCAGGGTCGTTCAAGTCGACCAACTCGCAGAGATCTTGACTTTGGTCCTTCTTTAAAAGACGAGGAAGAGAAAGAGAGAAAGATTAAGAGGGATAGATAGATAGATACATAGATAGATAGATAGATAGATAGATAGATAGATAGATAGAGAGAGAAAGAGAGATAGGAATGATACGGAGAGGGCGCGCAAGTTGCGTGTGGGTTGCTTCCCACCCTCGGGCATCTATCCACTCTCGTTCCTTTTGGGTTTCAACCCCTCTATTCGTTGTTCATCTCTCTCTTACTCGTTTGCTATCGGCCTTAGGCGTCGTCGTCGTCGTCATCGTCGTCGTCGTCGTCGTTGTCGTCGTTCTCTTTCCCTCTCTCTCTCTCTCATTCTCTCTGAGTCGAGCTCAACAGTCATCCCCCGTGGACGAACCCCGTTGTAAGCCAGGCAGCCACCCTCCACCGTTCGGTCCGCGCACTCGTCCGGGGGTGGCGGCAAGTCCTGCCGGAGCCAGTGCCCGCGCGTCTTTCGCGATCAACGGACCGCGCGTACCAAAAACTCCAAGGTTCTTTTACTCGCGTGTCACAATCTTCGATAGATAGATAGATAGATAGATAGATATTGTGCGTGTGTCATCCCTACGATATCCTTTCGAAACCTTCTAATAATTTAATCCCCTTTTTTTCTTTTCTCTTATCTTATCTTATACAATATTCAAACTCAATTGTATCTATTTGAAATCCTCCTTTAATTTGGATTTGTTGGAGATTTGTGAATTTATTATATATTAGTGACGATAATAATTAACAAAAATTTAGAATTGTTTTTTTTTCTGTTCTTCTTTTAATCATGTATCCACCAATTAGAACGTTTCTTCCTTACACACGAGTTTGAATAATAAAAAATAATCGTAAATTATTTGTTGAACTTGATCATCGAAGTATTTTATTAAGTGAAACCGAACAATCCTTTATTTTCATATTAATTTATATGTGCGTGTTCGATTAAATATAACCAAAGTTTGATAAGTATATGGTGTTAGAAATGGGATAATGCGTGCATGAATATATGCAATACGAGCAAGTGAGTCGGATTACGATAACAATGTTTTCTATACGAGCTTTCTGGGAAATATACGAACGAGGGAACGTTATTCTCCAGTGAAAATTGGTGAAACTCTTACGTATATAACTATAGTGGAGAGATTATTTTAATATAATTTCATTTGAGATCGTCAGGATTTAAACCGCTTCAAAAGATTATATTGCAATTTTCACGGGGGGAGGGGGTTTTTTTTTTGTTTTTAAATACATTTTCATTTTTTCTCTTTTTTTCTTTCCTTTTATAAATATATATATATATTTACATATATTTTCTCTTCATTATCACATTTAATCTTCAAATAATAATTTATTATACGGGAAAATATATTTGCAGTGAAATTAAATTTTTCTTTTTACCCAACTTTGAATCTTTCGTTCGTCGAAGTGTTTTCCTTATATATAATGCGGACCACACGATCGATCGTCTTCGAATGCGCTATGTGAATGACGACTAGGCCTACTAGTGATTTGGAAAAAAACATTTGTGTCACAATTATTTTCAAATGCTCGATAATTATGTTACGAAGGACAAGTTGTTGAATGAGTGTTTCAAATTAAACGATTTCGTACGAAAGAGTGAGTGTATAATAAAATTGATCGAACGTACTAACGAATTAATCGTCGTTCTACGTTGTTTATAATTTTTGTGTGATCAATGATATTTATAATTTAAATAGACACTTGTTAAAAAAAGATAAAAAAAACACTTCTGGACAACGTATAAAGTGACCACCATGATCAAAGAGTTCCTTTAGACTGACGAAAATGAGACGTTCGCTGAAAGAAATCGCACAAGGTAGAATCGATAAAATATATTACTTAGTACAAAAAAATAATATACACGATTTAAGGATATTTTTTGGTACGATCGATTAAAAAGATTGTAATAGACAATTATTATCGCAAAAAAATCAAAATGTCTTATAGATTTTACATTTTGAGTTACGCATAATTCAATCAATCAGCCTATAATTGAACGGCAATTAATGAACACGGAACCGCAGTCTCTCACTCTCTCCACATACATAGATACACAATATGTGTGTTGTGTATATAGATAGACAATGCATGTACATACACCACAATCACTTTCATTACTTAATGCTCATTTATCATATTGGTATTATGCTAACTCCATTCACATTTGCTACTTTCTAATCTCTTCGCATTATCTCTGTTTTATTATTTATTCGTTCAATTATTTAGGATATTCCCAATAGACATTTTTCTATTTAATTTATTAAATGACATTTTATATAACCTATCCTATTGTTATATTTCATTATAATTTGCAGTTATATATATATGTAATAAAAAAAACCATGCACGTCTCGAGTCATTCTCGAATGATTACGAGGAACTGGAATCGAGATAAAAATTGTTCCATTTCCATTGTTCATTTCTCATTTTGTCTTTCTCGATCTCACCGAGATTCGAGACGAGACGACAATCGTTGGGTAAGGTCTGAGGAGAGAGAAAAAAAAAAGAAAAAGGGAAAAGATAGAACGTTTTCTTATCATTAGTTATTCGATGACGAGTCACGTTTCGCGCTATGATGAGAATCGCAATTGCAAATATTTTTCATGCGGAATATATTGTACATCCAACATTTTAAACGTTTTTACAATACATGTTTTTTATTCTAACGTAAATATGATAAATATATATTTTTTTATTTCTTCCTTTAATGTCGCACAGATCTTAATTATTGCTACGTGCGCCACTTTTTAATTTAGAAACACGACCAGGGGCAAAACTGATTTTAAGTTAACAAAAAAAAACAAAATGGGCTGTTAATTACGTAGAATTACAATAAAAACCGAATGTTAAATATTTCGTGAAAGAGAAGTTGGAAATTTTTTTTTCTAAAGAATCCTGTTTCTAATTACGCTAAAACATTTCTTTATTTCTTCTCTCTCTTTCTCTCTCTGTCACTCTCTCTCTCTCTCTTTGTCTCTCGTCGTGCATTATATCCACTCCATTATATGCCAGTGCGATGAATACTGTACTGTAACATTCGACCGTAGGCACCACCTATTCATCGTAAATTCGATTCTGTTCATTTGCAAAACAAAACAACAGGAACTATATTTAAAATACTTCGCTGGTATTCGCAAGTAAGCTGCCAATGCTGCATTTAATGAATTACGAGAGATCGTATTAAATTAAAAATTATTCCTCCTTTTTATTGTCGTTAAATGTGTTCTTTTTTTTTAAAGAAAAAAAAAAAAAAAAGAAAAAAGGAAAATTTTCATTCTCCGTTTACCAACAAGTACAAAAATATACTTCGAAAATAAAAAAAAAAAAACCGACAATTTTCTTTGGTAACTTCGACATGGTATTTTTGTAGAAAATTATTGGAAAAGGAAACAAATGTAAAGGTAAAAAAAACATTAAAGGTAGTACACGGTCTTTCTTTTTCTCTATCTGTCTCTCTCTCTCTCTCACACGCGTACACGTTCTCTGTCTCAGTGAGTTTTGTTTTTTCTCCTTAAAAGCAAAAAACCTTTTTCAAAAATATTAAGTCATGGTGTGGAATATGATCGTTAAAAAGAAGTTGAGGGCGATATTTTATTATTTCACAAAGGACAAAGGGAGAGAAAGATTTTAATAAAGAAAACATTTTGCTACTTGTTAAATAACTACGTTGAACAGTTATTATACGAGTGTACAAAAAAGTGACAAAAATAAGAAGAAGAAAAAAAGTAAAACTTGAAAAAAAAAAGAAACGCGATAAATAACATACGGTTTTACACCTTCCGGGATAAGGGTGAACATTTTTCTAACTTTCAAATTACATTCCTCTCTTTTCTTACACGTTAGATAAACGAGCGAAACAACATGAACTTTTCCTTTACTTTGTCGAGCATACCCTTCGTGCTTTACACATTTCCCTTTTGCGTGTTAGACGATTTATTCTCAGCCAACCAAAAATATATCATTTTGTGAAATACGTAAATACATATTTGTATAGATACGTATGTATACGAGACATAGATATACACATGCAAACATACCGTACACGCATATATATACGATCAATTACACTTAATAAAGGGTTAGTTATTAAAACATGTCAGATAATCCATAATTATTGCATACACAATTTTTCCTATATATCCCTTTATTTCTAAGAAACAAAACAAAACAAAACAAAACAAAAAGGAAAATAGAAAAACCCTTTTCCCAAAAAATGTTAATCATTTGATCACGAAGCAAACACGTTAAGAAAATACATCTGTAAATTCGTAATAAAAGATAAATTATACAATTGTCATTTTTTGTTATGGACGAAAAAACTTATAATCGTTATTTCACTAACAATCAGAATCGGCCTACTTTCATTTACGATCTAAGACGTTGGCAGTCGTAGTCCGTTAATTCCACTTGTGATCGTAAAGCCTGCAAAGGGACAACGCTGTTCACTTTTTATCGTCGGTAAAGTAAAGTGAAGTTGTTGCTTTCTCTCTCACTCTCTCTCTCTCTCTCTCACTCTCTCTGAAATTCCTCTTGTATCCCCCGAGACGAAAAGCACCCCTCGTTCTCGAAAGGTACGGACTCGGAGCTTTAAAAGCCTCACCTCGGCCCCGTTTCTATTCCCGCGCACGATAAGCTTCGTTAGCAGCTGTTCCGCCTCGAGAGACTCGTGAGTTCTCTTTGAATATCTTACATCCGGAATTGCTACCGTTTCCTATCCAGTTCCAACTACTATCTCAGTTTTACTAATATCTTCTTTATATATATATATATAAACCGTAAGATTGTTTTTTGTCTCTTACCCCGAGATTGTTCTTTCTGTTTGCTTGTTTGTTTGTTTGCTTGTCCTGTCTAGTAAGATATTTCAAACGACGATTATAATTAAAGATAATATATATATATATATATATATATATATATATATATATAAACAATCGAGATATACTATCTAGAACTATTTCAAAAATGTCTTCAAGTATTAACTGAACAAGTTCAAATATCCAACGAACTTGTCAAGTTGGATCACACGGTCAGTATTCGATCGAAAGGGTTTTGAGCGCGTGCGCGGTCATGCGTTTAAGGCCACGACGCGTGGAGGAAGGGCAAACAAACCTAGCTAGCTTGGCGAGAGGCAAACTTGCCTCTTGTTAAATTGGGTTAACACGAATCCCTTTACAATTTACGCTCTACGGGTTAACTCTAACAGTAGAACCGTATGTCGTCGACACTAGATTCTACTACTTTAAGGGATGCATCCACGGCTTTTTGATCCCGATATCTATTTCCAGATCGCAACTTAATTTTTGTGATTTTTTTTCCACCCCCACCCGCCCAAAAAAAGAAAGAGAGAAAGAGAGAGAGAGTATGTACGAAAAATTTATTAACATTTGTTATTTATATAAATGTTACGAAAGATACCAATGAAAATAAAAATAACGTTCGACGTGTTAATTATTTTAAATACCGATCGATAACAAATTCTATCCTAAAAGAAACAAAAAATACCGATACAAGTTAATGGATTAAGAAATAGGATTCAAGCAAATAGGTAGTTTTTTTTTTTTAGAGAATAGATATTTAAAAAATAAATAAAAAAAGAAGCGTATCGGGAAACCAATATAGAAAATGTATTTAAATATTTGTTAAAAATCATAGTAAAACAATCATTAAAAAAAAGAAAAAATGAACGTCGTCGATATATCACATTGTCTTAAGGTTTAATATTATTATTATTATTTTTGTTTTTTTTTGTTCTTATTCATCTTTTTATCGATATTTCCTACTTTCAAAATGGTAGTACATACTTACTTTTCTTTCACGTTTCTTTTATATCATCGATATCTAAGACACGAGAGATACTGATTCTCTGACTAGACGAAGAAGATATCGAGTTAAGGATAGGGGGTGTTCTTATCTTATAGTCGGGATCGTCTCGAAGGTCGAAAACGCTTTTCGAATGATACTCCTTTATAAATAACAAAGCGATCCTTTGACATTCCTTTTAGATAAAGGTAGTAGTACAGAAAGTACACTGAATTTTCTCTTTTTGCTTTAACGGAAAACGCGCCTTTGGGAATGAGTTTGATAGTTTGCGTGATTTCACCCTAGAGATATCATAGTATATATACTTACTCCTATCAGGTGGATAACAATGAACTTCTTTTACATAGAAAACTCGCTTAATACTTGTACTATCGCATATATTGTGTAACCGATCGGAATGCATTAGAATATTTGGAAAAATATATTTTTTAAATATATTTTTTGATAAATAAATATCGAATATATACGCTTATATATATAATAGTAATATATTTTTGTTTAAGTTTCATTTTATTTATATATATATATATATATGTATATATCGTATATATCTACTCAAAGGAAGAGATCGATAAGTTCAATTGCACTTTGCGTGCTGCTGTACGTTTCCCCGTCTACAAAAAGTAGGTCTCTCGATTAGATACTCTACCATCATACCTTCTCTGTAACGAGATTACGTACTTTGCTCGTCTGTCCCCTACTCTTTTGAAACTTTAACTTAAATACGACGATGCAACGTATATTTATCTTTATCGAAACTAATTCACTAAAAGATTTCCCTTCATTAATTTTATATTTTCACGATGATCAAACAATAAATTTGTCATTTTAAAAATGTCTATATGTTTGCCAGGATTTATCAATAAAATTTCTTACATTTTAATTGATCGATATTTAAAATTAAACAAAGACAAATTTATTCCATTCGTGTTTCTTTAATAAGAACGTAACTACGGCACGTTTTCGATTAAATTACGAGACGCGTATCCTACGAAAGATACAAGCAGACTCTGTCGAAGAATTGAATTCGTTCTCTTTAGTAAAAAGAATCGATCACTCGGTGTAATTTCGTAAACCAATCTTACATCGCTTGTACGCAATTTATTTTTTAAAACTAACGAAAACAGAAAATTGTAACGAATAATGTATATATGTACGTACGTCGTAAATAATGTATCGAGTAAAATTAATCCATTTGACTGTTATACTTAAATTGACGATAAATCACAATGAATGATTCAAATTAAACAATTAATTTCTTATTTGGTAGAACGTTATCGATATTTCAAAAAATCTCTACCGGATATTATTAAAAACTTAGTATTCATATCCACATGGCAAACAGATTAGATGGAGTTATTCGTCAAAAATAGAATCCTACAAAATAATAACAATTACATTTATATTAATTACGGAATACTTATGTCCAGGTGAAATTTCACCATTCGATTAATACCCAAATCTCATGAGATACAAAATAATATAATTAACTTTTGTTCATTTATATTACTTATTAATAATATTAATACATAACCTGCAAACATATATATTGTATTAAAATTAATAACGTAGAAAATACAGATCTTTTTCATTTCACATACTTACTGCATGAATATAATTTATCAAATTGATAAAACTATTCGATCGAAAAAAAGAAAAAGAAAGAAAAATCGATTCGAAGTGTTCGATGTGAAATATAGAAAATAATTTGTAGTTTTGATTGCAGGCTTGATGCAAGATGGAAGATCGCGTGGCCCGGAAAAACGTAAGCGTACTTCGATGGATCTTCGTTAGCGGCGTGTAATTTCCTGTGAAAGTGTTAACATAAACCGTGTTGTATCGCGTGCATATACGTTCGTACGCTCTGTCGAGTTTTTTTTATTCACTCTCATTTTATACGAACGTGTATCGAACAAGAACGATGCTGTAAACGTGCAGCTGCGAATGCGAGCTTACGTTCGGACATGATGGCACTGTTGTTCGCCGTAATCGTCATCCTAGTCACCACTGCCATGTCGTTACCACCTGTCATCAGAATCGGTAAGTTTAATCTTTAATTAAATTAACACCTAAAGAGATACGATCAATATATAAAAAAAAAAAAACAACTGATCAATTAGTTTTTAGATTACTCTCGCTTAAAAAGTTTTCAAATTGTTTCGAAAAATATATATACAAGTAGATTTTCATGAAGAGAACCTTATTATTTCTATGTTAGATTCAAATGTTTTCAATCAACTACTCGTATATATGTATTATTTTACAATAATTCAACATTTTATTTTCATAACGTAATATTTAAAATTGAAATTGAACTCTGTACAAGAGATAATTATTTATTGATCAAAAGCATGGATTTAAATTTTGATAAATTTTAGCTGCTTAATTTATCAATTTCAATTTGCATGAATTTACTTTTTTTTCGATGACTAATTTGGGATCGTTTTTTTTTTTTTTATAGCATTATATAATGAAAATATTATAACAGTATAAGTCGTATTTGGTTCAGAGGATTTCATTCTTTACAATTGTATATTATATGAGTATAACTGAATAATAGGTAGCTGGAAAACCACCGTCGAATATAAGATTATAAAAACTGCAATTATTTTTGCACCAGCCAGATTATACTGACAGAAGAACGCTTCATGAATTACGAGCTAGAGATCTTGGTAATTGCTAATGTGTAGATCAAATTTCATTTTTATTTTATTATAAATCACTACTGATTGTGCTTGACCTAAAGTTAAGTTAGAATTTAATTAATTAGTTGTAATTAAATACTTGTGAATAAAAGATATGATTCCCATCAACGAAACGTAATCCTGACGTATTTATAAAAGCGTTTATTAAGTTCGATACGTTTCTCGTATCTAAATTTGAGTAGCAAATTTTTTGATAACGTATTTCAGACATATCAAACACTCGTTCTCGCCAATACGTTACCTGCGGCGTAACAAATTTAATAATCAATATGATTTTTCGTGTCTCCCGTGTATTCTGATAATTTCATTAAATTCTTTATATATATATATTTTCGTTATTTTAGCATATAATTATTATGTTAAATAATAACATTATTTCCCTCCCTATTAAGAATTTCTTCTCGGTTGAAAATTTATGGTAAATGAGTTTGACATGCTTGCAGTGAATAATACCCTTCAAGCTAAATTTATATTATCTTTGAAAACTAAACCTAGAAGAAAAACTATTTCTAATAAATTAAATTCTCTTAACAATACTTTCAGAATAAATGAAAACAATACCCTTACCAAACTTTATTTTACAGGTTAATACAAAACTTCGTTACTATTTTAATGAAAGTAAACAATCATAATAAATCTTAGGTCATATTCTTTTTTATTATGTAATATTAAAATTAAAATTGAATATACGTTTCCTAAAATACTGCTCGGTGATCTGTTTATGATGAGAATTGTCTAAGTTATGAAGTTTAAGGGATAAAGTGGTGCCACCATCAACGTTATTCATACTATACTACCATGTGGAATTTGTATGGTCGGAATTTACACCCGTTTGTGTGTGTACAAGACAGGAAATGTTCTATTTGCTAAATGTTCACATTGATATGCTTCAACTATGTATCTACCATTGTTTCAATCGTGCGTAAGCAAATGCAATTGGTCAGTACATAATTCTCATTGTCAGACAATTTTCATCTTAAATAGATCGTTCAACAGTGTTTGATAGACGTTTTAACTTTACTAATGCATACAAAAAATATATATTATTAACAACAATTAATTCATAGAAATAATATTCTTCTTTACGCAAGTTTTATTAACTTATAAAATAGAGTATGATAGAAATACAACAGAGTATGTATGTATTCAAAATGAAAAAGTTAACGAACACTATAGAAGTCAACAAAACAAAAGTTCAAACTATACATATAGGTCTTTCTTTGCCGATAGTTCGTGTCAACCCTGACAACGGTTATTCCCTGATATTAAGCACTGACGCATATACCTTTTGTTTAAACAACAAAGAAAGCCGAACGGGAACCGAACACGTGTCTTGTTACAAAAGCAAAAAGAAAAAGAAAAAATAAATAAAAGCCAAAACCCATAACACTGACGTGAAACAATTTCCTTGTATTTTGTCAAACAAATTTGTTATTTCGATCACAACTCGTGATCAAAGTCAAATTTCCTGTTAAATTAATTATTACAATACCTAAGACAAAATACAAAAATGAAAATGTAATAAGGAAACTTTACCATTACGTACAATGTCGTTATTTTGTCTGAACCAAAAACCGCAAGCAACTAGCTAACTTCTGACAAAAGTCAGATGACAAAATTTCTAATAAACGTTCGGCTTCATTAAATTATCGGTGGTGATTACCTTTGGTAATGATTACTTTGATGCAAATAAATGAACTCGTACGAGTCATACGCTTGAATAAACGTCAAAAACTTTATCTACTTTAATTTATCACGAGAAGTATACCTGAATTCTCATATAATTCAATCCTCATAATCACAAATGATGAATATCGTTGGATGGATGAAAAAAGTTTGATAAAAAGAATATTTTTGTTCTATTTCTTATTGCCAATGATGTGAATCATTAAATATAACAAAATCGAAATTGAACGAATTGAGTTTAAAGAAAAACAAAGATATCGCAAAAATTGCATTTTCTGAAATAACCTAAAGACAAAGATAGAAGAAAAGCCGTTTGTAAAAGTTTTAAGGGAGCATTATAATTCTGTCACGTGTGATACCGTCTCGTTCTCCTTTTCGGTACCCTTTCCCCCCTCTGTCTTGCGAAAAACGCATTTCCTCATAAAACTTCATGAATATTTTCAAAGTTTCTTCATGGCATTTTTCACTTATTCGTCTTGACGTCTTTCCAATAAATATGCTAAAGAATTTTTTTAAAGAAAAACAAAAAAAAAAAAGAAATGTATTATATTCCTACTCTTTTTAAAGAATATAATCAGAGAATTATTATTATTCGTAAAAATTTGAAAATCCACTGACGTTGAATTTTACATACGCCCAAGCGTAGTAGAAGGAAAAACTAAAAGAAAATAGTCAAAAAAAAAAATGCGAGATATTTTCTTTCTCCTTTCTTTCTTTTTCTCTTTTCTTTTCTTTAAACTTTCAAACAAGCCAGAGGATTATTATAATGCCGGCGTCGTAGTGGCAATTTTGTCATATATAAGCGGCACGCGAGCTTGACTATCCGCTCGTAAAATCCATGCTTAATAAAGTTCTCGGCGGCATGCCGTGAGCGGAAATGAACCCACCATCGAGGTAACAGCATTGAGGATTTATAACTACGAGTGGTGGTACCAAGAATTTTAATATGCTTAGAAGAAGCACTAAAAAGATACGGTTACTCATTGTCAACCTCAGCCACGTGGTATTTCGACCGCGTTAATAGGGCGACTTTCTTCTTGCCTTTCTCAACGCAATTGAGATACCTTGTGTTCCCTTATAAAGTTATTTCATTTTAATCGATGCAATTATCAAATGCAAGACAATCAAAACTAATTAGAACGATTAATTAATTGTAACAAATTCGGTCTTCGTAATATTCGAATATTGAAAAATAAAACAGAAAATATGAATAATAATTAATTCATTTTATATTCTCGTATAAAAAGATGATATTCTTCAATCGAGATAAACCCAGTAATTTAATTGCTTCGGTAAAAAATATGCATACGTTGATCGTTGATAATTTGGATATTCCGAAAAAAAAAACGAAAAAAAGAAGAAAGAAACAATAAAGGGAAGAAGATATATTAAATTTTTCTTAATTGCGTACAAATGTGATCCATACGAGAGAATTTTATCGATGTCGATAAAAACAAAATTAAAAAAAGGAAAGAAGTTAAAACGTGAAGCCCGTAAAATCTCATAAATGTAAGAACGCCAAACAATTAATAAAAAAAGACTCTTATCTTTCCCTTTTTTTCCCGACGAGATACTAACCATCAGAGTTTCCATTAAAATCGGGAAGGAAAATTATTCCAAGTGACTCCTCTTTCGTGGTTATTACCGATTCCGTATAATATAGAATATTTCAAGTAATATTCTCGCACTGAAAGCTTTCTTTTTCTTTTTTTTTTTTTTTCTTTCTCACCCCTAATTTGTTCTCACCCAATCTCTCTCTCTTTTTTTCTTTTTTTTTTTGCTCTTTTCTTTTTAACGCTACTTCGTCATAGTAATTTCATGTTCGATAATCGATGAAGAACAATAACCACGTTCTTCCCAGTCTTCGAATAAAAGTTGGTTGATCGAACGACAAAATCGTGGAAAAAAATTTATGGGGAAGAAGCTAACTCGGCATTTTCTTTTTTATCAAAGGCCGCCTAGGTATCTATCTATCTATCTATCTATCGTATACGAGGGCACCTTTTAATTTATTCTTGAGAAGAACGTATCTATAAGCGATAAATCGAACGTGCCATAAATTATTCGCTTTTTAACCTAGAATCTAGCAATCGAAGTCGATACTTTCGATGCAAATGTCGAAGCCTCTTTTTATCGTCTTCCGGTCGAATCCTGGCAAACTGATTGTCAAAGTTCATATCTGGTTACATTTATGAAAGAAAAAGACAAACTTTTGTTCGCAACAAACACAAAAATATGCAAGGTACATTTAATTGTATTTGTGTAAAAAAAAAAAAAAA